CATCACCTGGGAGAAGAGCCCAGCACCCACCTCTCCACAACCTCCCTTGAGGCAGTTGTAGGTGGTGATGAGGTCTCCCCTCAGCCTTCTCTTCTCCAGGCTAAACAAGCCCAGTTCCCTCAGCCGCTCCTCATCAGGCTTGTTCTCCAGAGCCCTCCCCATCCTTGTGGCTCTGCTCTGAACACGCTCCAGAATCTCAACATCCTTCTTAGAGTGAGGGGCCCAGAACTGAACACAGCACTCGAGGTGCGGCCTCACCAGTGCCGAGTACAGGGGGATGATCACCTCCCTGGCCCTGCTGGTCACACTGTTTTGAATACAGGCCAAGATGCCATTGAGCACAGAGCAGAGACTTGGCTGCCCCTGAAAGGGCACAGGGAGCAGTCCCAGTTTCATCTTCTGCTGAACGCCCCTGCTGGGGTGGTGGGAAGGAGGCCCCAGATCTTAGTGCACCGCTTTGCCTCAAGGAAGGGTGAGCTACAAAAACAGCTCGACAAACACTCACCCAACTCCTTATTGCCTCGCAGCAGTGGTATTTCACAATATTCCAATGAAACGTAGTGATAGTTTCACCTGAACATTATTCCAGACCTTTATAACAACCTTAGCATTCTGCTACCTTGAGATCTTGAGAGTGACAAATATAACTGCCTTTTTTTCTGTAACAACGCAGCCCCCGACACACACACATTTCATGCAGCTTTACCAAGCACCCGAGCTTTGGGATGCAATGGGACGCAATGGGACATTCTGAAGCTCAGCCTCCACAAACCTTACTGTGAATGCCAAGGCCGGCACGTGAACCAAGTGGGACTGACAAGAAAACAGAGTAAAATCAAACCTGAATTGACTCTCCACCGAAACACGTGATGTGTTTATGCACGGTCATCCTGCACGCAGCAAAGGGCTGTAAGGAATAATTGTAAAGACAAATAAATACAGTGGATTTCCCAGTTCGTACTGGAGGTGGACACTGCTGCAGGTCACCAGCAATTACAGCAGTGCTGTCTGAGGGAATATCTGAGCTGAAAATGCTGAGAATTACTCCATACAGAAAACAGGTTACCGCTCCCAGAAGCGATTTCTGAGGTGACAGCAAACTGAAGTTTTCAGTTGCTGCGTTTCCAGGCTGTTACAAATAACTACAACCATTCTTTCAGTGTTCGCTCTGCAAGCTGCAGCAACACGCAAGGCTGCTTCCTCTTTCTTGCAAGATTCATCTTTCCCAAATTCCTCCTTCTGACCAAAGCAACGCTACCCTCTCGTAGAAACCCTACAGAACACCTGAATACCTGGTCAGACTCCAAACCTCTCTCCAGCTTTGCGTGTCAGGACTCAAACTCCTTTTCTTCTAGGAACGCCGCTGCAGACATCGGCCTCTCTGGCTCCCCTTTCCTGTCACTCGGGTCACAGCCTCCTTACGCTGCTGCTTGTTCTGCAAACTGGTGCCTTTTTTTGGTGGTTGTTTCCTGAGCAAGTGAGGGAAACGCATTCTTTCCTCTCCCCTGACAGATACCAAAATACTCATTTTTCACAGAATGGGTTGGGTCGGGAGGGACCTTAAATCACATCCAAACCCCTGCCACGGGCAGGGCCACCTCCCACCACCCCCATCCATTTCTGATGGAAAACGTTGACATTCAGTCATTTTTTTAAAAAGCCACAACAAAGAAGAGGGAGAAGAACTCCCCCTTCATAGGAGTTGTGTGGAGGCAAAGAGTTACACAGTAAGATATAAAGATACAGGTCGATGCCCACGTACCTCCAAGCCCACCTCTCGCTTGCTGCATCGACATCCTCAGTCAAATCCTGCCCTCTGTGGGCACGAAGGGAGCGGCACAGCAGGGATTTCCACTTCAACGGGGCCAGGTCGGGATCCAGCTCGGCTGTTCAAGCAGCCACCTGCGTCGTGCCGCCTCGGGTCTCACAACAGCTTCATTTCGGGACGGGAAATTATTGTAACCTGGAATTAAACTGCACTGTGCACAAGAGCGGGTAAAACGAAGCTGATTTCTGGGGGATGCTCAGCTGTGCCGCTTGCTGAATGGGCCCGAGATGACGAGTTGAGAAAGACATTTAGGAGGTTTAGATCATCTTTGTTAGGATCTCTGTGTGTGTGTGCACATCCACCCACCCGTTGTTTGACAAAGGAGAAAACACTGTTGTGGATTACAGCTCAGCTCAGAACGCGCAGCACGACGAGGAGCAGAGCCGTGTCCTGTCCCCCAACCCAAGAAGGACGACGTCCACGTGTATATGCAATAAAACTGTATTTTTGTGTGCGTTTTTGTCTTTTTTTGTTGTTGTTTTAATACAGACATTTGTACACTTTCTTACAAAACTGCAGGTAACTACAACTTCTCTTAAATCATTTTTGGTCGGCAAGTACTGTAAAATCTTTGTGTGCAATTATCATGTATTTACAGGGCCTCATGTTAGTGATTTTTCAATGATTATTACAATAATGTCACACACTCTCAACATAAGACATGGCTTAAGATAAATATATTAGTAAATAAATATTCTGAGAACATATTTCCATAAATGAAATGTGCTGCTATACATATACAGAATATATACAAGATGTTTTCTAGCTTTTAAAACCTTTTTAAAAATGGTAATGAAGGAGAAAGAGCCCTTTGACCATATTACAAATCTTTACAGCAAATTTTATACAAAACAATTTTTAAGTGCTATAACTTTTAATTAAAAACATTTTAAATAGTGCCTCGTGAGCCAAACACAGTGACAACTGTTCACCTAAGTAGGAGAAAGGCATTTTGTTATAAAAGCCATCTCTTCTCCCCAGCTGGCCCGCGCAGGGCAGCAGGGGATTAACTCGGCGTGGATGAGAAAAGCAAACACAGGAACCAAGCGTGGGTGCCCCTGGGGGAGCCCTGCAGGGACGCTCACACCACCAGAGACGTCCCCAGCGTGCACCCGGCGGCGCCACGAGCCCCAGCACCCAAACCTCTCACCCGCGACCGCCCTCGAGCGCCGCGCGGTCACAGAGCACAACGTGTCCCGGTGACCTTGCACCAGCACAGAAACCAGGGCAGGACACCCCAGAGCTTCCGAGTGGAGGAAGGAGAAAGGTAAGACTTGAACAAACAAGCAGCAAACCCAAACCTCGCGAGTTTATTCTCCCAACACAAACCACTGACTTCAGTCATTCAGAGAATGAAGAAGTTTTCACTAAGTTTTATACACAGAAAACGTGTTTATTAAAGTTTTTCTGTCGGTCTTATACCCAGATATTGCCTTCTATTAATTCTCTGAACAGCTGGATTTTGGTTTTTGTTCATCTAGAACAGATTTCCTGTGAATTCCTTTCACTAGAATTATTTCTCCTAACTTACTGAGTACAGAAAGTAAAAGTAAACAGGTGAACGTGTTTCTTTCTTGGCCGTTTGCTTCTTTTACAACATTTCACTTGGGACTGTGAAGCAAACGGGTTCACTTTGCTGGTTCTCACCGTTAGCCCAGTGCTGTCAAGGACGTGACTTTGGCAGAAAACGTGCGTCTCTTTTTCCCATCTTTTGAGTATCTCCAAAGCGAACTGAACTCGGGACAAACCTTTCCTGGCACTGCGGGCATTAAATAATTGGTTTCCCTTTAGGAGAATCGCTGCTGTGAATACAGCAGGCGGGATGACACCGTGTCCTCAGGCACATGCAGCATGACAGGCGATTTACACCACGCTATGGTAGCCTCTTACTCAGAAGCTGCTGTTTCCACAGGAAACAATTTGCTATCAGAAGTGACGACGTGCGTTATCTGGCGATAACCAACATCCCCACTGGTAGAAGAAGAACACAGGGGTGTGCCCAGGCTGACGGGGTACACACGGCGCTCTGGACGCAGGACGAGAACGAAGCGCAGCTGGCTGGGCCCAAGAAACCTTTAGAAGAGATCGATCGACGGACGCTGCGTCAACCACAGCGACGAAGAAAACTACGACTAAACCCAGTCCCTCGCTCTCCCACCATCCCAAAGGGTGACAAGCACTGCTGCCCTCAGGCTTGCAGCCTGTAAGGAAACAAGACAGCTGCTGACCCCTTCCTAAAATGAGCCGGCCCAGCTGCGAGCACCCTGCAAGCTCCGTTTTCCTGCGTACGCCAGCGTTCCTCCCAGCCACAACAGGGGCTACAGGTGCCTGGAAAACTTCCTATGGAAGGCAAGGTTCATAGTACCTACGAAGGTATCACCCTTTCTAAGCACTTGCTTCGAGCATCTGTTTGAGGGAGGGGTCCCCAGCATTCTTCACCACTCAGAGGATGCGATGAGGTCCATGGTTTAGCAGGAGGTGAGGGTGAGGACGTGCTGAGATAGCAGTTTCCCCACCCGCACTCTGTTAGAGCCAACCATAATGGCAGGAGACCCTTCCAAACCAAATCATCAGAGCAGCATGAAGGGGGGAGGAGGGGAGAGGCGAGAGGAGACAGACCAATGCTTCACCTCCCTCAAAATCGCTCATACAACGTGCTGCCTACTAGGATTAGTGGGTATCTGAGCATCCATTCAGCAGCTGTATCCCTCTGGACTACTATATTTCAAGGTGCTATCTGGTTTCTAAGGCAGGTGTAGCCCTGAGCTTATCGAAGGCTGGACTCCGTTAAGTAGGAGATAACAGCATCTACACATAGCCTGGCTTATTTACCACACCGTGTTACCTCTCAGCAAGAGCTGACACGGTCCCTTCTAAAAAGAAAATATAAATAACACTTTGTCATTAATATAGAAATGGCACTAGAGCTCAGAAATGCTCCACACCATGTCCCACGTTGGCTTTGCACACAAATGGAGGCCTGAAGGCATCAGGCAAGATGGAGAAAGGAGACAACCAAGCTGATGCGGACACAGAGGAAGAGGAAAGTGGGGGAGGGACTTCTCCACATTACCACTTTTGTGTGTTTGTCAAAGCTTACAAAAATTAAGTCCATGAGAACCTGGAGTCTCTGATAAGCTCCACTTCTCCATCGGGGATCTTCTGGACAGGTCTAGTCACCGATTTGGCTTCTCTCCAAGGGATGAGATCCAGCACCTGAAGGATAAAGAAAATGAAGGAACATAGCATCTAGAATATTGCATCCAGTTTGGGGGCACTCAGGAAAAGGCACTGACTGACTGGAGCAAGTCCAGCAGAGCCAAGGTGCTCAGAGGGCACCTCTGTGAGAAGAGGCTGAGGGACTGGGACCTGTTGAGGCTGCAGAGGAGAAAGAAGGTTTTGGGGTCACTCCTAGCAGCTCGGCAATACCTACACAGAGGCTGTCACCACAACAGAGCCAGGGGCTTCACAGTGCTGCATTTTCAACAGGTAAGGAGCTTCAGTTGAAACGTGAGACATTAAGACTGAATACAAGGAAAATCTTTCCACCGTGCTGGCAGCCGAGCACGGGAACAAGGGCCCAGAGAGGGAGCGCGCTCTGCGTCCCTGGAGGTTGTCAAGGCCTGACCAGATAAACTTGGTCTAATCTGACAAACTGAGTAACCCGGTGTGGTCTCAGAGCTGGCACAGCACAGGTAGTAAGAGAATAACACTTCTGGGCCAAGGATTAGTCAGTAACCTGCTCTTATACAAGGGACAGCAGTAATCTTTATGGCTGCAGGTGTCTGGGGAGCTTTCACGCGCTAGGACAGAACGGCAGCGAGTAACCAAAAGCAGCACACGCATTACCTGTGGCCTTTGTGGTCGTCATCAGCTTCTGGGAGTTCAGAGCGGGACTGGGAAAGAGCATTCTGGCTTCCTCCTCCTGAGAGTAGCTCTGCCGCAGGAACGCCGCCGCCTCGTAGCACGCCTCCCTCTCGTCCTGCGCGTCCCCTCTACCTTGGCAGTGCAGGTAGGAATCCAGCTCAGGGCTTCCAGCCCAGGCACTGCAGCCGCCCGCGTGGGTCCCTTGGCACTCTGTAGGTAGGATCAGCTCACAGTCTCTGTCTTCAGGAATTATGGGAATGCGTTGACCCAGATCACATACACCCTTACAGCAGCTTGGCAAGGTGTCGTCGGGAAGCGTGTACTGCACATTCACTGCATAGTCTTCTGTATAGCAGCCACCACCTCCGCTGCCACTGTTGCTACTACAGGCTACCTGCTTCTCTTCATAGAAGCAGCAGGGCAAGCCCTCATATTTTACCCCATCTGTCCTATGCAAGTGGTCTGAGTTAATACTGTACAAGGCCGGGGCGCTCCCTGCCTGCGGTTCTATTCCTGGGCCACACGTCCCCCACAGAGGAGAGCTAAGGAAGAGTGCACCACAGTCGGCAGTCCCAGTGCCAGGCTCCAGGGCAGAGTGCTGGAGCTCAAAGCAGCACGCACACGCTTGCTCCACGAGCGGCCCCGCTATCTCTGGATTCTTCCAGTTCCTTTTACCATCCAAGGCAGCACCAGGAGTGGCCTCGTGTCCTCCCTCTGAGGTAGTGCCATTTGGATCCCTGTGCTCTAGTGAGGAATTACTGCTATAGTTCATATCCATGCTGCAATTGGACAGTTGGTCCCCTGAGGAAGAAGCTGGCACAGGCCGGCAGTCGGCACCGACCAGACTGTGCCCATGAGCTGGGAGCTCGTCCTGGTGGGGGCCCTCCAACAGAACAATTGCACCCCTGTTTGCACCACCGACCTCACCCACGCGGCAAGGGCTCTTACTGCGGTACACGTAGGGGTCGTAGTCACTGCTCAAAGAGCTGCGGAAGGTGGAGCAGCTGCCGTAAACCCCCTGGTTGCTGACCTCGGTGCAGTCAACCATGGAGTCGCTGGAGGAGCAGTGGCACTGACCAGAGCTGCTGCTGCTGCTGTCGCTCCCAGGGCAGTCGGCCAAATATCCGCTGCACACCGAACGATGCCCGTGGTAGCAGCTAAAGCTGGAGGTGCTGCCGCTCTCCAAGCGGGACGAGGGCACCACGTGTACCACAGGAGGGAAAAGCATGCTGCTCCCAGGCTGGAAGGCACGGGAAGGACCCTTGGAGGAAATGCCAGCTGGAGGCTGTCCATCTTGCTCAGGGTAACTAAGGCCTTGGAAGTAGTAGTGCTGGTACATGGTCTCGTACTGGGAAAAGCACGTCGCTTTGGAAAAGTTGCGTCCGCCAAACTTGGGCCTTCGGAAGTTGTGAGCCGGTGAGTAAGCCCTGTGCTCCAGGCTACAGTGATGCGTGTTCAAAGCATGGTCCAAGTGAATCGGCTGGTAACTTCGGATGTAGGCTGGGGACTGGGCTTGGTAGAGGCTCTGCTCACCGTGTCGCTCAACCGTCAGCACCGTGATGGGGTTTCCGCGAGGGTCCATGCTCGTCCGAGTGGGATACGCCGTTATCTGGTTCGCTCTGTGCACTCGGCCCGGGTAGTGGACGGGCAGAATCACCCTCTGCTGCCGGCTGCGCGCTGGGTTGATGGAGTCCAGGCAGACTGGCCCCGCGGTCCCTTTCTTCTGTTCTGAACGAGAGAAGTAAGAGCAGAAAAGTAGGAGTCGAAGAGAATAAAAAGGAATGCACTTCATGCATGAAAGAGGGGTATTTTGTTCCAAATCTAGTTACATTATGCACCCAACAGAGGGTTTGTTTTAAAAAGCACTGACTTTTTACACAGAAGGACAAATAACCAAAGAAAGTGAGTTGAGAGCATCTGCCTGAAGCCTCTGAAACCCTCAACTGTATTTGCTTAAAAAGGAAAAGAAGAGATTTCATCTACTGTTGTCATAGGTACAAAACCTTCTGCTTACACAGCACTCCTGCCCTCGCAGGTTAAGAGCAGGGCTGACGGTCATCGCTCGAGATTTCACTTCACACTGTATTTTACAGAAATGTGCATTAATAGAAAAGACGATGGATTGTTTTCTGTTCTCTTGGTAATGGTAAATAGAAAGAAAAGACCATACATACAAAATAATATATATTCATACATATAA